TATAGCATAAGGAAAAAGACACACTTGGCACATAAGTATCAGTGGATCTGTTACTGAAATGATGTAGCCCATAAGCTCCCCCAGGGACCTTCCTCCAAGCGTTACATATAAAAAGTGTTCTGAAGTGATACGTTTTTAAGGTGCTGAGATAAACAATGGGGAAGATTTTCCGAAGAGCGTGAGCAGGGAGGATACGCCTCCAGAGTTTGACTTTCTCTGCAAATGCGCGCATCAAAGAGGTCCAGCCAAAGCTGGCCATTTCCTTCCTTTGTTCCTTACCTCATTTGCCTGGCTGGAATTTTATGTCTTTGGCACGTTCTAGCTTCTAACTTAGGGAAAGAGGATGAAGTTATATATTCAACTATTATGGCTCTTGGTTCCACCTCATGTTTTCTTTCAGAGGCAGAGGATATATAAATAAAAGCAGACATGTAGTGAATATAGCATTTAGTTATACATTCAATTCTATTTGAATTCCAAGTACAACTTTAAATTCTCCACAGATGCCTACTTTTATTCTGTGGTGAGTTTTAATGACCATTTCATTCCCTATCTACTGTGGCATAGCATAGGTATTGATTTCACTTATCCTTCAGTTAAACAAAGATAGTTTAGCCCAGCTCCCACCATAAGCTTGTGCTTACATTTCCCATTTGCTACTTGCTACCTTTATGTAATGCTTGATCTTTCTTTTTAAATTTTTAGTCATAGTAAAATATATACACCATAAAATTTACCACTTTAACCAATTTTATTTTTTCATTTTTATCGGTACCGGGGATCAAACTCACGACCGCCTGCTTGCAAGGCAGGTGCTTATGCCGCTGAGCCAAATCCCCAGCCCCCACCTTAACCAATTTTAGGTGTACAATTCAGAACAGATTGTATTTTTACCTTTAATTCCTCTTACATGGACCCATCTACCTCCCTCTAGATTGTGGACTATATAAATGCAATATATACGTATCTACTGTGGTTTTTTTTCTTTTTTTGGTACCAGGGATTGAACTCACAACCTCATGCTTGCCAGGCAGGCGCTTATGCCACTGAGCTAAATCCCTGGCCCTCAATTTTGTTTTTTTTTAAATAAAAGTCTTCTGACACCTAGTAACTATACCCAGATTCTTCTTTAATGGTTCAGCTCTCTTTATCAGTAAGAGTTCTTTTGCAAATAAAATCCTAACAATCTGGATAATGGTGAGTGCTGTCATAAATCCCCCTACACAGCTGGTAAGTTGTTTCTCTCATACCTTATCTTTTGTAAAGAGGGTTGTTCTCCCAGGCCTCTGGTAGGGAAAGAAACGGTGAATACCAATGCAGTTTTCATCTGGCCAAGGAGAGAATTAGGCAAAGACTCAATAAGTGAAAAATCCCAGTGCATGCTGGGAAAGGGAAGCAAAGAGACCCAGGGAATGCTGGGAAAGGGAAGCAAAGAGACCCAGGGAATGCTGGGAAAGGGAAGCAAAGAGACCCAGGGAATGCTGGGAAAGGGAAACAGATTTAGGGTTATGGCTGCCAGAGAGGTTGCTCTCCTTGTTTTCTTTTTTTTTTTTTTAATTTCTGTGCTCAACTCAGCAAGCCTCTGTGATGCATACTGCTCTGCTTGAGAAATGCCTGAAGCCTAGTCAGGAAGGTGAGGTATACATATATAAATATATTGAAAGTTAGCTCAAGGCCATATTTAAGTATGTCAGCAAATGAATAATATAGATGGTAAAAGCAGACACTCTGTGGTTAGAGAGTTAGAGAAAATGTCATGGAAGAAGTAGGGTCCTGACAAACCTTGAAAAATGGGTAGTGTTGGAGAAATCAAGAAAGAATTAAGATTGTGCTGCTAAAGATAAACTATATAAGCATTTTGAGAAAGCCTGTGTCTCCCAAATTGTTTCACTTTCATAGTCTCTTGAACTTCAGTTGGTTAAATTGGTTTTTACCACTTTGCCAGCTCTTTAAAGCAACATTTACCTTCCCAGATGTCTATAGGAGACTAACAGGTCTGTCTTTTCTCCTTTTTTAGACATTGGTTTCCTAGTTGTAGATGTCATATTGCAATGTGGCATGTTTCTGGGGAAAATGGAGGGAATTACTCCTTATACGCCAGGCTAGACTTTGGTATAGCAAGAGATGTTTGGGAATGAGGCAGGAGACAGGGCAGGGCAGGGCAGGGCAGAGCTGGCTGGGGAAGTAGGGGTGCCCCCCTGATTACAGATCCCCAAGTTCCCAAAGTCCTGCATGTGGAGTTCCTGAGAGAACTTGAGCGGGCTTGTGATAGGACGGCCAGGACCTGACATCAGCGTGGGGAGAAGGGGGTACAAAAGGACAGTCGCCCCTGAGCTCTTGTGACCATGTCCTTTCCCAGCAGCCACCCTCACACTGTAGGACGCACTAGTGTTTTCCCTACTTTACTTGGTTTAAACTTGCTCTGCACAGCTGTTTATTTTCCTGCCTTTAATAAATATAAAAACCTTGCTACTGTTTGTGTTTGTCTTGACCAATTCTTTGCTCAGAACAGAAAGAACTCAGAACCTTCCTCTAGAAGGAAACTCCAGCACTCCGAAACCTGGTAACAGGAGAAGTGTTCCGTAGTGATGGCACCTTTAGAGACCCCTGGCTCATTTCAGGGCGTCTCACCTGTATGCATCCCAGATTTCTCCAGAAAGAGATCTCAACTTGGGTTTTCACGGCTGGGCTTTTGTAACAGCAGTGCTGACCGTTGTAGCCTCAGAGAGAGGATTGGCTCAAGCTGGGCCCCTGAAGGCCTTGGTTAACTTTGTGATCTCTCTTAAGCCTCTGGAGTCTGGATCATTCATCCTTACTTAGCTTATCCGGCTCTCTGGTTTAGCCAAGAAGAAAGTGCTTCTGGGCGGAATGCCACTAGGAAGATTGGTCCCAGAAAACAACGCTCCCCTTTATTGAAGGTCTTTCCCTTTTCTCCCATCAAATCAGATTTTGCTTTCTTTCCCTACTGAGGTGAAAGAGACAAAGACTTGTGTTTAATATGCAGAAGCAGTAGCTCACATCCAAATTGCCATTATCCCTACAAAAAGACTTCTTTCAGTGCGTTAAAATTCTTTAGCTATTTGCTTTCATTGCGTGGGTTACATTTACCTATTTTTTGTTGCAAGATTTATATAGCCTAATCACAAGTTGAGGGAAAAAGTTTTGGACTACTGTTTTCTTTTTCTAAGCAGTCACCCCACTGAATTTTTATTTAAGAACATTCTACCTAGATATGAAAAAAGGAATTTATGGAAAGGAACTGCATATAAATAAAGATGGATAAATAATAATTCTACTTCTTTTTCCAGGAAATATTTAATTTGCATTTTATTGGGAATGCAAAGAAAAGTGGCCCTCCATCCAGAGGAACACACATAAATATGTATGAAATAATTGATAAAATAATACAGCTGCAATGGTAGAGTTATGTGCACGATATCATGTGAACAGTGACAGTCATCCACTCCTATTTCAGACCCATGAGAAGGTTTCTTGGGGCAGGTGTGGTCAGCTAGTTCTTTTTATATTTTCATTTTTACACTGCATGTTTGCAGAACACAGTGGTTACATTCGTGATGGGGAATTGGTACATACAAGTAACACATCTTAATTTTTTTGCACCCCCTTTTTTTTCCTCTCCTCCCTTTGTATCTTATTTTCCAAGATGGATGATAAAAATCAGTGACATACTATGCAAGTGTAAAAACTACACTACCCTCAATTTCTTGATTTCCTAGTCTGTAAAATGAAAGATTTGCCCTGAATAAATTATTTTCAAATTGTCTTCTAGTTTACAATTCTGTAGTTCTATGGGAAGATACAGTACTGTTTTTACTGGAAATTCAAGATAGAAATGCCATACAAAAACAGGATTAAAAGGGGAAACAAAAATCTATTGATTGGAAACCACCACTCAGAGCCCTTCTTCTCCTGCTGCCACTAAGCACAGCCAGCATCGCATCTAGAGAGAGTTGAAACTTCCAGCCAGAAGCTGCTAACTCAGATGTCTCCGGGGACTTCAGGCTGGTCATGGAGAACCTGTTCCCTCCTTAAACATACGCAAATTAAGTCATAACAAATTGTTGGATGGCCCAAATAGACAAATACATGGCTATATTTGGCCCTCAGAATACTAGTTTCCCAGCCTTAAATTCTAATCGAGTCAGCCTCCTTTATTGCAAGTGAAGATTCTGAGGTCCAGAGAAGGACAGTTGCCTCTGGGAGAAGCAGCGAGGTCCTCATCAGACATCAGCACCTTGATCTTGGGCTTTCCAGACTCCAAAACTACGAGAGCAAAATTATCTCTTTATAAATTACCCAGCCTCATGGATTGCATTAGGGGAACGCAAAATAGACCAAGACACACACGTAGGTTAGAGTGACTTTCAAAAAGTATTGAATGTTATTAAGCATTATTAAATTGTGAATACAGAAACAGTGCCTCCAACAGCCCTAGAGATCATCTTAAGTGGCATAGTGGCTGTAGTTTTAAAAGTAAACTCAGTACATCACAAATATCATTTCTAGAGCCAGGCATAGTGGCATGCCCCTGTAATCCCAGCACTCGGGAGGCCGAGGCAGGAGGATCGGTGTGAGTTCAAGACCAGCCTGGGTGACAAAGTAAGCTCAAGGCCAGCTTGAACTGCATAGTGAGACCCTGTCTCAAACACACACACACACACACACACACACACACACACATCATTTCTACTTAGATATAAAAACCACTGAGTTGTTTTTATATATGAATCTTCGAATATGATGACTATTTTATACTTACATTTTAATTTGGACAATTATATTTCAAGTGCTTGATAGCCACCTGGAGCCGGGGCTACCATTTTGGACACTGCAGTTCTAGTTTCTTGTTCTGTTCGCACCCTGCTTACAGCCAGCCCAGGAGGGAGAAAGTCCCCAGGGCCTTGTCTCTTTCAAGCCTCCCATTGCCAGTTAATTAAATCTCTAAGCAACGGCTGAGTCACTTGCAACTGCGCGGAAGACAATTTAAGAAATCTGTCCCAAAGCCAAGGACATAGCTCCCCACGTACAAGAAGGGAGGCAAGTCCTTTGGGCTTGGTGCCGTGAAGGAGAAAAAGACTGCACTGAATCAGGTGGCCTTGTGTGGGACGGAAGGAGGTAAGTCATCACCACAGAGGTAGACGGAAGCAGAGGGAAGAAATGGTTCCCACTGGGGTCCCGTGTGCCTTCCAGAGCTACTGCTAAATTAGATCCACAATGCTTTTGCCACTGAGGCCTCACAGGCTGCCTGCGGGCAGGGCCTGATCAATTCACTTTACAGAGGAGTAAAGGAAGGCATAGGGGTCATGAACTTGTCTGAGGTCAGAGCTGGTGCTTAACACTTCGGACTTCTGGACTGTTAACAGCTAACTCCTAACCACTGGGATGTATTAGGACAGTCTCACTCCATCTCCCAATACCTGAGAATGTGTGGGGACTTGTACATAAAATTTGCACTGGAGGTTTGGTGTTTGCATATAATATAATATGCATGGCTCAATGGTCTATTTTCAGGCAAATTTGAAGATCTAAAACAATATCGCTGCTTCCCCATAAAGTTTCTTAATTGTTTCTTGATTATTCTCTTGGCTATGCCTTTTCACTCACCTACTACTTCAGGTGAACTTCTAGGGGGAAAGAAACTGTAGGAGACTCAGCAAAAAAGTAAGGTGGGGGGATGCCAGGAATCAGTGGGGCTGGCTGTCTGCATGGGAACTGGGGTATCTGTGGCATCCGATTTAGCGGGAGAGGGGGAAATGTCCAAAAATTTTGTCTGTCTCAAAAAATTCTACCAACTTTAGTCTTGGTTAGCAAGTTATTCCCACTATGTAATTCATCTTACCAGCAGGAAAGCATTTTCTGCAGCTGAGCAGGGGTCCATGGGCGGTCAAGAGCAGCAGTTCAGACTGCAATCTCTGGCGCCATATTGGACCACACCCTGGTGCCATATTGGCCATATCCATGCCCTGGCGCCATATTGGCCATATCCATGTCCTGGCGCCATATTGGTCATATCCATGCCCTGGCGCCATATTGGCTGTATCCATGCACTACTCTGCCACTTTCCAGCTGTGGCATGTTGGACAGTCACACTGAAGTTCTCTGCTTTAGATTGGATTCAGTTTTCAATTGGATATAAAAACAATTTTACCTGCCAGGGTTTCCAGGAGAATCAAAGACAACAAAGAACATTAAGTGCCTGGAGAGCTGGCACTCACTAGTTCAGTGGTGTGCAGAGCTTGAAGGCCTCGTACAGGGGCCTCGCACCAGGGCCTCCCTTCACAGTCACTGGGAAAGTTTGTTAAAATACAAGGGTCCAAGCCTTGCGCTCCATGGGAAACCCTGGGGGACAAAACAGACTTATTTTCCCAAGAGGGGGAGGGGTTACAAACAAGTCCCAATTGTCACCCTTCTCAGCTGGTGCTGTGTACTGGAATATTAAGTCCCTATCCATTTTGTGCCAAAAGTACTAAGAGGCCAAGAGATGTAGTGGAAAAGGCATGGAATCTGGAGTCAGATGCCCATCTGACTGTGTGAGGACACTCTAAACCCATCACTTGCTGGCTGTATGACCTCTGAGCCTCAGTTTACCCATATGTGTAGTAGATATCACAGTGGTTTTCTCTGAGTGTGGGGTGAGGATTAATTGCAGGCTGGCAGTGCTCAAGGTCAGCCAGTGTGATCAAGATGGAACACTGGGCCCCAAGGCCCTCCGAGATGGGGAACAGAGCTCCTCAGAGAGCCCCAGGCTAGGGCGTGGTTCAGCCATGCACCTGGCAGTGGATGGAACGGAATTCTGCAGGAGGAACAGCTGCAGGCCATCAATGGGCAGAGTGCTGGGGACTGCAGCTGACTCAGAAACAGGAGAAGCCAGGTGACAGTGGGGAGGGGTCCACTGGTGGCTTCTTCACTGAAAAACAAGCTCCTGTTCTTTTTAGTTAGCTAAGAGCCACTGTATTCACCTAAGGGTTATTCCCCTCTCTGTTTAGAGGGATAAAAACGTGAGACCCAGGCTGAGCCTTTTAAAGAGGGAAGTAGGATTCCTAGAAAGATCACATGAGTACTATACACAAACCTGCACCTGGCCTGCTGGGGGGGGGGGGGTGACGGTGGCGGTAGCTCAGTGTTCCCTCCCAGCCTACCAGGGGAAGCTCCATGCCCTTCCTGATTTGCAGCCTTACGATGGGATGATCTATTCTCAGCCTCAAATGCACAAATTTGAGGGGCTGGGGATTTAGCCCAGCTGCATAAGTGCCTGCTTGGCAAGTGCGAAGTCATGAGTTCGATCCCTGGTTACCACCCCCCCCAAAAAGCACAAATTTGCACACAGTAGGATGCAAAGCCATACCAGGCCTCATCTCCACACTGATTCTCCCCAGCCTGTTTCTCATTTCCACCCCACAGAGGCTCCTCTCAGTCAGGGTGAGGAGGAGGCCCTCCGAGGGGACCTCCTCCACTGCACTTGGTGCGCCCTCTCTCAAGACGTGGCCAGGTGTTACCAAGAGCTTTCTAGCTCAAGACATTCCAGCGGGGTTTTGGGAATGGGAGCAGAGCAGGAGGGCTTACTAGACAAACTTAGCCCTCAGGGACTTTTTGTAACTTGTCCTTGCCTTACATCCCGGCTTCTCTTGTGTTTGAGTTCTCATCAGCATTTGGCCTGCAGTCTGGATGCTGCCCCTTCAGTTCCGTTTCTGGGGGCACACGCCCCACCTCTCGGGTTCTCACCTGTCTGACTTCCCTTTACGTCCCCGCTCTTAGCCGTGACTGGGGACAGTGTGAGTGGCTCAGCACAGCCCTGGTCTGAGAGGGGAAGGCTAGTTCTGTGCATCTGCACCCCGACAGGACAGAGGGCAAATGGAAAGTGGTGGGAGGAGAAAAATCAACAGCTCCCTCGTTCCTCTCTCAGGCCAGGCAAACACCCAGCTTTGGAACCTAAAACCTAAATTCAAGGGACAGACCTTCCAGTTCCCAAGTGCACCTCCCCTCGGCCACTTACTCCAGCTACGGGAGCTCCATTTATGCGTTTGTTCCTGGAAAACATGGTAAGATGGTAAGATTTACGAAAACACTCCTGGTGGGTTCTGATTGTTGGGGTTTAAATGCATAAAGCGCCTACTGTGTGCTGGTGGTAAGAAGAGCGTTGTCAAGGAAGCGCAAAGAAGGGAAACTTTCACTGACAGCGAGCGTGGTGTGTTCTGCGTGCTTTTCTTTTGCAAGCGCAGCCCATACCCCTCTTTAGGGTATAAAACTGATGTATGGAAGTTGTCCCTTTGGTTGCAGGACACCCATGGGCTGTTCTATGAATGGCCTACATCTTTGGGTGCCCTCATTCACACCACATGGTGCTGGTCACCAGCTCCAGGAACCTTGAGAAATAATCAAGTGTAATCTCTGTTATCCTATGCAAGGATCCCAAAGACCGTAGTCTCAAATATCTGTGTATTCTAATAGCTGTGACACACAGGAAGAGTAACAGTGTGAGCCGAAATCTGCCCTTGCCCATAAATTTGCCCTAACTCTAGAGATTTACATGTTCTGCTCATTGAATGCATCTAAGAACCCTCCCAGGTGCGTTGTATCATTCTCGTTTTTACAGATGCTGACCCCAAAGCACAGGAGTTGTAAGTCATTTGCTCCTGGCCCCTCCTGTTTGACCGGTGGAGCAAGGACTTGAACCTGGCCAGTCTAGCACCAAACGAGACTGACACTGCCAAGCCCTCAGGAAAGCCTTTCATGATTCAGTGTTTCATTGTACTTCTCGTTAAAGGACAACCTTAAAAAAAAGTAAAATCCTGATTGCCTACAAATATAAAATGAGCAAGTGTTAAGTAAGGATTTTTATTATGAGATTACTTGGCATATGTTGTTAGAAAAAATAATGATGAATTGGGCAGGAGTGCACAGTTCAGAGATCTGGTCTGCAACATGGTCAGGCAACATTTTGTGGTCAGAAGCTTGATTGATTACAGTTCAATTTTGGCATATTCATATATATGCCAATTATATGTATGAGCAATTTACAGCCTGTGATTGGCTGAAGCTCAGCTACTGTGATTGGCTGAGACTTGTTACAAAGTCTACTTCTGGGGCCCGGCATGTAGCACGGGAAGAAGCACCAAAATAAGATAATAATAATTAACTAAGCTCTTACCTTAGGCTTTTAATTAGTCTGCATACTGAGATGGAGTTCATAAGGATTCGAGCAATTACAGAGGCATCCTTAGGCCAAAATTAGTTTAACAACATTGCAACTGTTTCAAAGGAATCCAAAGGACAGACAACCTTTATAGATCAAAAATACTGAACTGAATGCAAAACAGGTTTTTCCAGGGTGGGGAAAAGCTATATGGACAAAACTCGTTTGCATCTTTATAGACAAGAATTATTCTGCATTGCTATCTGTTCTCACCCTTTACGATGTGGTAAAATAGAAAGTAATAAAAATCTAGAATCAGACAACCCTAATCGGTGTGCTCCATGTATTTCTGTGGGAGGTATCCAATCCTTTTTACAAGCTTGTTTAAAATCTGTTTACATTCTGCACTGTTAAAATCTTTACATGTAAGAATACAAACTCCTGAGCGTGGTGGTGCATGCCTGCAATCTCAGCACTTGTGAAGAGGGAGACTCTGTCTTTAAAAACAATATATATATACACAGACAAATATATTTATATATATATATATATATATATATATATATATATATGCACACACACAGTCCTATATATGTATATATATAGACACACTCCAGCCCAGCACTTCATTTTTACATCTTTTCCTTGCTCCTATGACTTTTTTTCCTCATCTCACTGACACTAAATGTGTTTAATTTATATTCCAGTTGGAGCAGCTATCAGATGTCAGCTGGGTATTTGTAATTCGATGCTTCGTTTGTTGTGTCTTTGGACTCTCCTGGTGCTTTGTTTCCCTATAAGTTTTGTAATTTTTTTAAACTGTGAGTTTATATTGTGGAAAACATGAAGAACTCCCAAGTTGGCATCAAGATTATTTTAAGTTGAAGAACCTGTAAAATCCACAAGATCCACCGATTCAAGAAACAAGATATTTTTTTCCCCTCTGTACTGAGAATTGAACCCAGGGCCGCCGCACGGACTTACTTCCCCCAGCCCTTCTTTATGCTTTATTTTGAGGCGGGACCTTGCTAAATCTCTAATTGCACAGCCTGGAATTGAACTTGCAATCTTCCTGCCTCAGCCTGACAGAGTGCTGGAATTACAGGTGTGCACTACCACACCCAGCTGAAACAAACTTTCTTATAGTGCCCTTTGTCCTATTGAATGCAACAACTTCTGGAAATATGCCTGCTATAAATTCCTCAGCTCAGATCTCCTCCTTGAAGGGAGAATCACCCCTGCCCCAAATCATTTCTCCACAGAAGTTTATAGCCTTGAGGGAAATGATGAAAATTATCCGTATCAAGATGGAGTCACGAGGGTCAAACCGTAACACATGGAGCCAGAAACTGAGCACAGTGGTTCACACCTGTCATGACAGCTACTCAGTAGACTGAGGCAGGAGGATCTCATGTTTGCCAATAGTCTTTCTTTCAGAACAGCTCACACGGACTTCTTTTTGTCTTTAAAATCTCCTCCTCTACCCTGTATTCATGGATATGCCTATGACCACCCACATGGCACATAAAACCCTGTTGCAAACTTCTACTATTCCCAAATCTTCTCCTTGCTTTGATGATTAGTTTTTTGCTACTCATTTTAGGTCAACAATACAGAAAAGCTTTGCAGAACTATATAGATAAATGTTATCACCAACTGTATTTTCTCTTGTCTGTTCTGAGAACTCATCTGTCTTTTCCGGAGGTGATTTGTTCTCTGTAGAGGTGTTTCTCCTCCTTCCCTTCACCTACTAAAATCTTATGTCAGCCCCAGATCCAGCCACCCCTTCCGAGTTGCTGATCATAGATCCCTTCCATGCATATACGTGTTGCACCCATGAATATACTCTGGTGTTTTCTGCTTTAATCTGGCCTCTGCCGGTTTAAGTTGTTGGCCACAGCTACTGAAGAAGAGAGTGTTAGAGGAAAAAGTTTTCCGCCCCTACAGTATTTGTTAGGAATTTAACAGCTGGAATAGCTTCAGGTCTGCTGAGGGCAGAGCATTCACCCAGAGAAATTTCCATTCACCTTATCTAGGTGCTCAGAATAATATACAGAGTCCACCAAAATAATGTATACACACTTCAGGAAAAGAAAAACTTGTATAAATATTTTAATACTACATTTATTGAGACATCATGAGGTTAATACAAGACACCTTTGGCCTCTACAATGACAAGAGTTGCTCAGAGTGGCAGCCATGAGCTTCTAGACAGTGGTTAGTATGGCAAACTGCTGCTTGGGTCACCTAGGTTACTGAGAGTGCTACACACACATTTTCAATTTCTTCTCCAAGGGCCGCAGTGTAGTGGGTTTTCTGTGATATACAGCATCTTCCAGGGCTATGTAACAGTAACACCCTCTGTTGAGAAAAATATTGTACTAAAAAATTATATTATTATTCTTTTCCTGAGGTGTATATACATGTTATTTGTGTACATGTGTGGACACACACACTCTGTATGTACAGGTCAGTTTAGGTAAAATTCTTAACTTAAAATTTTTCAGAATATGCATGTAGAATGAATTTGGACCCAAACCTGAGGAGGAATTGGCTTAGAGAGGCACATATCTCACGGGGACTTTTTACTTTTTCTCTTAAACAGAGAGCCATGATAGGTGGTTCTTTTGTAGGTCCCTTGTGAGGTTCCCCACTCCCACCACTTTTCAGCCTTTAGAAGTCCCAGCTCTGCGCCGAGACTTCAGGTCTTATCCATCAGCCTCTCTGGGCACTGTGGTCTCCAGAAATTGATAGATCTTCCTGAGAGTTCTGCTCTCTTTAGCATTCAGTGACTTCTAAATTTGTGTTATTGTTTTTTGTTTGCTTGTTGGCTTCTGGATGTGTGTGTGTGTGTGTGTGTGTGTGTGTGTGTGTGTAAAAACTCACCTCTTCAGATCAAGCCCCATTTCCCAACAGACACTCAGCCACAGATCACTTCACTGATGAGTACAGCATCCCCATGATCCAGTTACCCTCCAGAAATCCCATCTCTGAGTACGTGGGTGTTTGGGTGGACATTTCAGATCTAAACCAAAGTGTCCCACCCATAGGCCCCCCCCAACTAATGTGCATCTCTTTTTGAAAAATACGTTCAGATCATCTCTAACAATTTCCAAAGTGTTAGTAATTTCAGCATTGCTGACAAGTGCAAGTCCAAATTTTCCTCTGAGACTCAAGGCAAACTTATGACTGTGAGTTCCTGTGAAAATCAAAAGAAAGTTAAGCACTGCTGATATACAATGTCACAGCATGAACATTCACATTCCAAAAGGCAGGGAAAGGTAGAGAAAGAAATTGGACCAAAGCAAGACTGAAACCCAGTGCAGCAAACATTAATTCCACAGCTCTAGTAGGCTTGAGCTGCCCCAATCCCAGGGCGTCAATGGCTGTAGCCCTCATGGCCTCTCTCTTGGGTTGGCTCTGCTCACTGCCTGTGGCTTTCCTCAGATGTTGCACCCTCCTGGCTTCTCTAGCTTCCTGCAGTGTCCACTGCACCTTCAGCTTCACACACTGACTCTCGGGCTAGCTGCTCCGGGTTCCACCTCCCAGCGGGAAACTCAGGTAGAAGGAACCACAGCACCTCTGTGATCCAACCACCCTCCAAAAGCTCTGCCTCTGAGCACATAAGAGCTTTGGGGGACATTCTAGATCCACAGCTCATGCACACCAGCTCAACAGTCCATCTTAAAAGTTTAAAAAGTATTTTCAAGTATGTTTCGGATTTGGTAGTGACAGAATTTTTCAGAGTATTGAAAGAGAGACTTTTCAGAGAATTGAAAGTCAAAGTAGTAGCATATTTCTAAGCAAGTAGTTTAAGATAATAAACCTAGAATTTGAACTAATTCATTCAAAGAGGCTACCATGTTGCAGTGTTTGTACTAGACATGACAGAACTCCCAACTTAACATGGTTTAAGCATTAAGATTCATCATACTGCATATTAGCACAGAAGTATCCAGCTCCGGGGCTTTAGGTGCCAATATTCATTCTCAGGCTAACAAGATGACTGTAGCAATTTCAAAATCTCATCCAGATGCAAATACCTAGAGAGAAAGACCGCCCCTTCTTTTGTCTCTTTCCCAAAACCTCTGCCAACCTCCTGCCACAAGACTTTTCTTTCTGCTTCATTGGCCAGAGCTGTGTACGTGACCTTTTGTAACCTAGTCCTTGGCAGGGGAAATGGAAATATCACGACTGGCTTAGGCTAATCAATGCCTGCCTTTGGAACTGCAGATGAGATCATCTCCTCCAAGCCTCTAAAGGAAAGAATAGATGAACAATACCGGAGTTTATGCACAAAACTGCAAGGGTGAAAAGAGAAACAGAAGCCAAGGAGGCCACCAGCAGGTTCCACTGTAGGCTGCAAATCCCTACGACAAGAGATTAGCACCAAGCGGGTGTAGACCACTGATTTTCTCAACTGTGCTCTAACCTCACCGACACCAACTGATTTGAGGGCACCATATTCATGTGCCTCTTCACTTAGAAATCAAGTCATTTAACAGGTGTCATGAAAACACTCTCCAAACCTCCCAGGTGGCAGTCTCCAGATGTAGACACTGCCCTGTCGCTGCTTGCCACACTGCCAAGCGGGTGTCGGGGAATTGGTCATTGTCCCTCTGCTCTGTAGTGACAAGAGGCCACTGGTGGTGTTCTCTTTTGTGCTGGTGCTTCAAAATGTCTATAGGACCTTCTTCTCTAACTGACAAAGAAAGTCTCCTCTGGTGTAGAGCCTACAGGCATCTGGGAAGCCATGACACCCAGCCTTCTCTGTTTATTTCAAATGGAAAATCATAAACAAGAAAGTAAAATAAGAGATGCACAGAGTCAGACTCAGAAAGGCAGAAGTAGGAAAACATACTTCCACAAAAACAGGAAGAATAAAAGGAGGCGAAAGGAGACACATCTCTCCATGCCCTGCAATTCTAGGGAATCAATATTTTTAAAACTCCTTTAAATGTAAAATGTAAACTTAGTTTCCCTCTTCTTCCTAACAGCCCTCTTTTCAGCAGTTTCTCTGTTCCTCTGGAGGCAGGGATGAACAAAAGATCACCTCCCAAAGAAGCACCCCCTCTTTTCTGTCCTCCCCCCCACCCCACCCTGGGAACCCACCGATACAGGAAACACATTCAGATAAAACCCCCCAGTTACTGGAAAGCCTTAAGGTTTTTCTCTGTGGGTTTACAACAGCATGGCCTTCGACCTCCCAATAAAAGAGATTTACTCAGCAATATGACACCTTTTATGTAATCTCAGCATTAAGCAAGTCACTTCATCTGTCTCCAACTTCTCAGCCGCACACCACTGACGGCAGGAATGAAGTCGCAGT